TTGTGAATAGTTTTGGCTATTTGTTTTTACGACCGGCAGCCTGCCTTACATCAACCCTCTTTTGGGAATCAACATTAATCAGAGATGTCTAAATACTCTTAGAAAGTACATATGATTCGGAAAAATCACATTGGTACTTGCCCACTGACTAACACAATTATAATAAATATGATCTATTTTATAAGTTTCTTAGCAACAGTTTCGTTATACGCTATATAGTTTAAAATAAACTAAAGATAACAATATTTCGTGTTTGTCTAAAACACGTTAAGAAAATTACACTTCAGTGGTGGCCTAGCGGTTAAAAGGCCCTCCTCTCATGCACGAGGGCGCGGGTTCGATCCTGGCAAGTACCGATGTGATTTTTCCGAGTCATATGTACTTTATAAGAGTATTTAGACATCACTGATTAATGCATTCCCAAAGAGGGTTGATGACAGGCAGGCGGCCGATCGTAAAAACAATTAGCCAAAACTATTCACAACATGTAAGGTAGACCCTGGCTAAAGCTGGGAAATTGCCAGGTAGAAGACGTGAAGAAAGTAATATTTTTCTTTACATATATATATTGGCTAAATTTTACTTATTTTCCTAATGAATGCTCAGCTCAAACATAATGAGAGTGTATTTATTTTCATGACTGCATTTTAAAACATTAGACTCGAGCCGTCGCTTCGTATAATCTGTCACAATTTGTGTCGCCCATAACTTTATATTAAGTTGAAAAATCTGTGTGAAGTATCAGGTTTTAAATTGTGTTTTAATTTTATTTTTTATTTCAGTTTTTATACGCATTTTTGTGTCGTAACTTATTGTACTTGAGATTTTTTATTCTGCTTGGTATTAATGAAAGTTTGTAAGTATTTTGCACGTTTGTAACTCTATCACGCAAATAATTTTTGATAGGTTTTGGTTCAGTTTTACATTAAAATAGTATCAATATTAAAATATATAGCATGGAATTGGTCAAAAGATTCCGGGTAATACACACACGATTATGACATAAATTATATCTTTTCTCTGGCCGCAATTTCGTTATACTTCTTAGTATTATACTGCTTATATATAAACCAACTATGTACATATATACACAAAATATATGCATATCTTTCCATTTTCAAGTAAATGCCATATGTACCAAAAAATATATTATCATCTCAAATTTTAATATTACATAAACGTTACAAAGAAACCTCGAAGGGAAGTCCTTAAGAGGAATGTATGCTTTGAAGCAAGGCGTCAAGAAATTAAAGAAGGGTGAAACTTTGTAAGAAATTTAACTTCGAAATTTAGGTTGAAGAAAGGAAATTTTGTGCAAAGTCCTTCAACTTTTACAAACAGTGAAATAACAAGAATATTATCTTGAATTATTCTAATTAATAATGTAACAAAGAAAAATATAATCATCGATTAATAATGAAGTTAAACTAAGTTCTGTTCTTGAACAAAGCGTTGGATTCTATCGCTTGGAACTTTGTTTAATATGACTTTTGTTGAAACTTATTTGTCTTTAAACCGATTTTAAAAAAGGAGGTTTCTTAATTAGACCATTCCTTTTATGTGTTTATGCATATATATTATTTATTTTGCTTATGGTGCCATTACCAGTATACCATTATCCAAGACAAATCGAAAGGAACCGTTTAAAATCGTGGTCAGTTGTTCAAACGTTTCTTAAGATCTAGGTAGAAAGCGGATAGCTACTATTGATGTTAAGAGACTGATATACTGAGTTGTGAATTGGCATATTTTAGATTAACCAACTTGTCCTTGATGCTTGAAGACATTTAGAAGAGGATTATCTTTGCCAGGTCAGTTGAAGTATATCAAGCTCTTGATTACAAAGACAGTTCACGAAAATCAATCTCTTCTCATAAGCTTTGATGTTGTGTAGTTTTCTTATACGTTTTGGTTTCTTAGGATGCATCTTCTTGACGAACTTCTAGCTTGTAGTCTGGTGGTAGTGTCAGCAAGTAGTTTCCGCCGGCCTACAGTCTACACAAGCTGAAGGCCGAAAGAAACCCCTGCTGATAGCACACCTACATTCTCCAGTCTTCACTTGTTCTTCTCTCTTGATTACAAACTGTACTGTATGAAGTATATGTACATATGTATAACTATCTACCCAGTTATTGTAACGGCCTACATTGGTTGTCTTACCTCCTCCGCCGTCTTTAGTTAAGAATAAACCTTTGTATGAAACGCTTGTCTTTAATTGCATCGCCGCTCCCGATACTCCACAAACATTTCTTTTATCAATACATATGTATGTTTGGAACTAACAACTAATATACAGGGTGACTGGTGAATTACTATCGATACTTGAGGACGTGATATTTGACGATCATATATGACAAAATAAAAATTAATATAACATAAATATTAATAAACTTCTAAGTAAAGTTAACCAAAAGTTATGTAATTAATTACGCATCGTGTGAACACCCTACAGATTAGGTATACACACACACATACGCGTGCGGCGGCGTGTTGTTATATCAGCACGCCGCCGCACGCGTCCACACTTGGAACACTTGGAACGTGTCCACACTTTATTTATTTATACGGAAATTTGGTGAAAAATTAAGTACCTATTTTTTTTACTTAATTCGAATGAGAATCATGTACCGAGTATTCTCCTTAAATATTGATAGTAATTCACCAGTCACCCTGTATATACAATATGCTGTTGAAATCATAAAATTATTATTATTCTATAGCGATTATTAGGATAAAAAAAAATAGAACTTTAATGAGTAAGATGATAGTTGTATTTTATTTGTGAAGATGACTTTTACTTAGATTCGAATATGGTGATATATTGTTAGAGATATCGAGTTTCAAAAGGAGTCATAATACTTATAAATACATATATTAGTAGTTTATTCACAATTTATTAGAAGACTAGTTTTTGTCTTCGACTACATCTACGCAGAATTAGAAATATATAGATGATCGGGCGTACTCTGTTCTGTCTTAGAGGCAGTAAACAAAATATTTTGGATTTTATTTAGTAACTTTTTCTTTTTAGGTTATACTGATGAAAAGTATTATATTTTAGTCTTCTTGTTCTAATCTATCTCTCCACTAATGTTCATCCATATCCGTACAGTCGTTCTTGAGTTATAAATAGTGTAACTAACACGACTTTCTTTTATACATATATATATATATATATATATATATATATATATATATATATAGATTAACGTTTTAATTAATAAATTATAAACTAGTGTAAAATCTTTACTTTCTTTCAGTAAATTTTTCCACAAATTGTGAATCTGAATATTTGAAAATCAAGCATCTAAAAACTAACTTTATTCGTGACTGTAATAATATAAATATATTATATATAGGGAAAACATATTTAATTTGAACCGAACCTTTAAACTCCCGAACGCATCCGAAGTGACGTTAAAGCGATGACGTTTGGTTTGTTCACTTTTACGAGGGAAAGTACAATATTTTGTAAACACGACATGTCTTTTTGTAAATTAAATTTAACTTATTTAACGTGTATTGGGTTACGATAATAATTAGTTTGTTCCAGTTAAAGTTTTATTTGTTATTTAAAAGCACTGACTTTATAAGAAAACTATACTTTTTAATGATTTTATTAGAATCCTAAATATATATTATTATTCATATATACAGGTTGTATTTCTTATACCTAACAATATCTATTGAGTTTAATTCCATGGGAACTGCTTCATAGGGTAAAGATAATTTTGCATATTCCAGGCTATTGGCAATCTTTGTGATGAATTCCATGCATTCAACATAAGGCACTCGGCTATGGGTCGATGTTGATTTACCGAGATAGTTCTATCTAGAGAGTTAAAAGCCTAGATAAAAGCTAGATCTAGACTCAAATAATATTTGAAGTAGACATTAGTAACTCTTAAATTGTTATTGAATAATCAACACTTCTAAACTTGGCAATTTATTTAAATGAAACTAATATTTTTCTACATATAAACTACGCGTGCGTATCTTTCTAAAGCATACGTGTGCTAATCGTGATCGCGGTGTCTGAAAAGTAGTCCATGTTCGTAGTATGTAGTTTTTAACAAAGATATTAACGCGTAATATTAAAAAAATTTAGTTTCATTTAAATAGAATCAGTGGTAACCCAGTGGTTATAAGGCCCGCCTCTCATACATGAGGACGCGAGTTCGATTCTGGCAAGTACCAATGTGATTTTTCCGAGTCATATTATGTACTTTTTAAGAGTATTTAGACATCATTGATTAATGCATTCCCAAAGAGGGTTGATGTCAGGCAGGCGGCTGGTTGAAAAACAATTAGCCAAAACTATTCACAACATGTAAGGCAGACCCTGGCTAAAGCTGGCAAATTGCCAGGTAGAAGAAGATTAGTTTCATTTAAATGAATAATCGGTAAAGTCTTAGATCATTTAAATGTATTTCATTTAAAATATTCAGAGAGTATTCACATGGTGTTTTATATTATTTATTGTGAGTTAACTTCAAAGAATATAAATTCTTCTTTGATATCGATATTGAAAGCTAAAATATTGTCTAGCAAGTAATATTACTTTGGTTCGCCTTCGATATTACAGCGAACATTGGATGAGAAAAGAATTACGACGCGAATGTTTCTTTGGTTAGAAAATTTATATATATTTTTCATAATTTCAATGAATAAGTTGAAAATATTTTTAAAATTTTATGGTTTCAGATAAAAATATGACTATGATCTTTTTTTTGTCGTAATTATAATAAAAATACGATAAAATTAATTACCTTTACTTGTGTTTTTATTTGTTTTGCTAATAGCTTAAGATTTCTTTAAATAGTTTTATACTGATACGTTTTTAAGTTTTAGAGGGATAAAATATTAAAGAAGCAATGTTTACTTACCATTACTAGTGAAGAATGAAAAAAACATCTTCAGTATTGGACAGAAATGAAGTTTTTTTACATCCTATTACTAGTAGAAGAATGAAAAAATATCTTAATTATAGATGTACTCACTTCAATCCCGCGACGATCTCCATAGCACCGTTAAAGTTTCCAATATTCCAACAAGTCAAGGCGACTCTGAGGATGCAGGCGAGGGTCACTTTCCTCTCTTCAGAGGAAGCCTGGTTTAACACCAGCTCTGTCACCCATGCTGATACCTGGACACAATTAATTACTATTAGAAATAAATTAGGCAGTACTTCTACTTAGATGTTTATAGCTCCAAAACTCGTAACAGAATCCCCAGTTTAATACTTGTATCCTATTTGTGGTGAGGGTAAGTTATATCATACATACTAGTTAACTATAATAAGAAATCTCAATAAATATAAGAATATATTATTTATATTCTTATATTTATTGAGAATTCTTATTATTCGTGAGGCTTAGAATTGTGTAGTAGACTAATATTGAAATCATTATAAACTATTATTACTAACACTACATATTTACAGGTTTGATGGTAAAATCAAATGATACCAATTTCGTTACTATAACAAAATTATAACAATTGCTTAGGTAAAGAGAGGAGCTTGGACGGTGGAGGTGAGCGTTTAACGCTTTAGATAGGGTCCCTTAAACCTACACCTGGGTCGCAAGTCCCAGTCACTGTTGAAGCTCCTCTCACTACAACGTGAATACATGGAATGATGAGAGGTTTCGTCTCTTTTTCTGTTAGGGCTAACTCAGATTGAAATACTAAAAAAAAATATTTAAAATTCAGTTTCAAAAATATCATGGATAGTTAGATAAAGTCTGCTAAATTTTGCTTCTGAAGTTTGAAGGTTTAAAGGGAATTTATGGAGTTAGAAAAATGGAGACATCTGTTATGAATATAATTATCAAGTTTTAGAAAGAATAAAAATAGAGTGTTTTAAATTTCAATTCCCAGTTCACAAGTTTCAGAGTCCATTTTTTATTATGAAGACATATTTTGTCTAAAACTTATATCAAAAAACACTTTTTATATTTTATGTATTCTTTTGTATTAACATGAAATAATTTTTATGTTTAAATTTATTTTGGAATTTCCATATCTTTATTACCCATGTACTTTTTTGTACATATTTGATAAAAGTAAGAGCATAAATCGCTCTCTGATTCTATTTTGGGCTGGCGGATTACGAATGTAAAATTTATATTTAGATTTTTTATATAATATAAAAAATTAGCTTGTAGTACTTTATTAAATATTACCGATAACAGTATAATTAAACTGATATTATAATTGAAATCTTTGTATATATGTATGTTTGTTAGTGCATAACTCAAAAACGAACGAACTTGAAGAACTAATATACTACATTTGTAACATATTATGATTGCAATTCTGCTCATTAGTTAACAGACTTCAAATGAGAACAAAATAAGAAAAACAGAAAAAAACTTGGCAATTTTCAAAATAATAATAATAATAATAATATCATTTTTCTTACTTAACAGACTTAAAACAACAACCAAAATAGTTTTTAAAATAACAAAAACAGAAAAAGTCAGCAATTCACAAATATATAGAAGTAAGTAAGTAAACAGAATGAGACCTTTGATGTACAAAAGTAATTCCAAGAATATTTTGGGCTTAAATTAATTTAAAAGTTAATGTATAAAGCGTATCTTCAATGAAACCTTTCATGAAAGGGTTAGGAATCACAAAGGGAGTACTCAGAGATTACTATTGAGTTGTTCACACAAATATAAATTATTATTATTATAAATATTACTAAAGTACTACTTCATCATCAGTCTATCAGAGTCCACTGCTGAGCATAGGCCTCTTCTCACATGGAGAAGATTTGAGCATTAATCACCACGCTTGCTCAAGACGGGTTGGTGATTTCAAACTTATAATTTGAAACTATAAGTCCATGTTTCCTCACGATGTTTTCCTTCATCAGTCAGTGGTGTCTAAATACTCTTAGAAAGTACATATGACTAGGAAAAATCTCATCGGTACTTGCCAGGATCGAATCCGTGCCTTCATGCATGAGAGGCGGGCCTTTAACCACTAGGCCACCACGACTTAAAGTTACTTCTTATCATATAAAATATCTGACACTGAATGTTTAATCAAAATCGGTCCTACTTTTTCAGTGATAAGAGCGAACAAACAGACAGCCCAACAAAGTGTTTGAGATAGGATTTTTTGATTTAGTTACCCTATAAATATCTGTTAAAATTAAAAATCTGTTATTTTGATGACACAAAGACAAACCAATTTTATTTGCTTGTATGTATATTGTGCAAACAAAAGTTCTCTTTGTAATACAGTAATTAAAAATTTTTATAACAAATGTTGGAGAGTCTCCAAAATTTAAGTTGCTTTTTAGGACGACCCAATTTATGAGTAGTTTTTGGCACAATGGTCTAGTATTGTTGATTAAGAAAACTGTTTTTCATTAATAACGTAAGGAATTTTAGGAATTTGATGCTTTGAAAGAGTTTTTTGGGATCTTTTTCTACTTTTGTTTTATAAAAAGACTGGGTGATTTAGGGAATTCAAAATATGCCACTATTTAGAGACAGCAATAAACACAGAATGAATGGGCAAATTTTTATAGCATTAGATTTGAAAAGAAAAAGGAACTAAGTCTAGGTGGTAGATATGGTCAAGTTATTAAATCTGGAACATGTGCTGTCCCGACCGTAAGTACCACTCTCTCACAGAAGATCGGCGTGAAGTAGTCTTTAATAACTGCGTTTCATGCGATGAGTGAGAGAGATGGTATCCCTTTTCCATTTCCACCCTTTCCTAACCCTTCCCTTTCCCTCCTTTTCCCACTTTTTCCTCCCCCTCTTCCCTAATCAAGAGTGTTCATAAACGGTGATGACCTCTTATCATTAGGTGGCGAACCTAATTATTTGCCCCCTACCATATAAAAAATAGTCCTTATTGAGTAATTTCCTATTCATTTCCAAATCTAAATATATCTAGAAATATTTATTGTATATAATAATCAAATCTTCGTACCTTTATTTTATAATAAATAAAATAAACCTGGTATAAATATAGCATTCCATATGTTTAATATTAAGTGGAATATATCACGTAGACGTGTGCTACGTGCTACGATACCTTCTACGATAAGTGCTACGAGGTGCTACGTTATAAGTATTTCTTCTATGAGAAAAATACTTGCAACATATATATACATATACTAGCTGACCCGATAGACTTCATACTGCCTCAATCAAGAAATAAATATTTTTTTATTTTTTTGGAGTTTACCTTTAAGTTATCTCCGTGTTCTGAAGAGCGACAGAATGATTGACATTTTAGTTCGTTGTCAAATTTAATGTCAAAAATCCTTTTGTATGGGAAATAGAAAAGGGCTGTTTTTAGAGTTTTCCCGGCAATTATTCCAATTTTTCTCATCTTTTAAACCTTCCCTGGACTTCCTGGAGTATTTCAAGACTAAAATTAGCCAAATCAGTTCAGCCGTTCTTGAGTTTTAGCGAGACTAAGGAACAGCAATCCGTTTTTATATATATAGATATGAAATTAATGATATACTTATATTTAAGTTATAATATGTGTTTAAACACATATTGATAAAACTAGAAATATTAAATATGTTTTAGCGTAAAAATATCTCATGATTAAAAAACCTTTTCGCAGCTGCCGCATAAAAAAATCCGCCCCTCAAGTGATTTGAATCAAATTTACTAGAAGGCTGTACATTCAAAATATGTTTAGTCAATACAAATTTAATAAATACAAGCGTATCAATATGCTATGATTTTTATTTAATTATTATATCAAAAATATGTCAAATATACATATATAATATTTGGTATATGACTCTAGTCAGTGGTGGCCTAGTGGTTAAAAAGCCCGCCTCTCATGCACGAGGGCGCGGGTTTGATCCTGACAAGTACCAATGTGATTTTTCCGAGTCATATGTACTTTCTAAGAGTATTTAGACATCACTGATTAATGCATTCCCAAAAGAGGGTTGATGTCAGACAGGCGGCCGGTCGTAAAAACAATTAGGCAAATTTGGTAAAAATTGATACATTCGTTTCGGAGGAGTAACAAATATTGTGACATAGAAATTTTATATATTAGATTAACTCACACTCTTTGATCATTTAAAGCCTTAATCTATTACAGAGAAGCTAAGGATTAACAAGCAGGAACTAAGCCTTTGAGTTATCTAAGTTTATGCGAGAAATATTTTAAAATGAAAAAACTTTTATAACTAACAAGACATGCTTATGAAACTAACGCAGACTTTCCATATTTTATGATACTATCAGTATGAACCGTGACTTTGCTTGCTTCTTATCCACCTGAGGTTAGTATGAGAATACTAGTATAAAGTCTTTTTTAAATTTTCGATCGAACAGTATTAAATATCCTATGTCCGTCTTCTTGTTCTAATCTATCTCTCCACTAATCTTCATACATATCCGTACAGCCATTCTTGTGTTATAAATAGTGTTATTAACACGACTTTCTTATATATATATATATATATATATATAGGAAAATTTTCACAATTTGTAATGAATTCAACACTAAATGATTAATAATTGTGAATACATTACCTTAAAAGTCGTTAATATAGAAAATATTTCAGCTTAAATTTTGTATTTGTGGATTTGCACTATTCCCAACAATATATAAATTTTTATATATTGTTGGCATGAGATTTTGTTTTTCCTCTAGTCTTTATATATGTATATATAATTCTTCTGTAAATATGTATGTCACTGACACTAAACTCTTAAACATCTTGACCGATTTGAATAATTTTTTGCATTTGTGTAGTGCCCCAGATGTTTCAGATTCACAAATTAGGTCAGCAGATGGCGCTGCAGTCAGTAACTGGGTTATTTAAAATAAAAAGCCTGCGATTACTATATGTATTGTTTTAACACATATATTACATACTAACAAAACTATGTTGTCAGCAGTTTTTGTATGTATAGTTTTCTTTTTATTCTGAATTAACTTCTTCTTCTACCTGGCAATTTCCCAGCTATAGCCAGGGTCTGCCTTACATGTTGTGAATAGTTTTTGGCTATTTGTTTTTACGACCGGCCGCCTGCCTGACATCAACCCTCTTTTGGGAATCAACATTAATCAGTGATGTCTAAATACTCTTAGAAAGTACATATGATTCGGAAAAATCACATTGGTCCTTGGCCGGGCCAG